AATTATTCATTGTCATGATTGCCATTGTATTAAATAACAGTATCCACAAGTAGATACGTGGTTTTAGTGGTGTTAACCAACTCTCGAGAACAATGCTGACATTTTGATCTATAACTTTGATACATCATTTATGACCACTCCCAAAACTTTGTGGGGGTGACAGCTGTTATCACATTGTGGAATATGTATGTGAATAAGTCAACCAGGTGTGGCCAACATCTACATAGAAGAAGTAGAAGGCAGAGCCCTGAACTTCTTCAGAGGAACAGCCCTAAGTCATCGGTAAAGATATGTGGACGACACATGGGTCAATATTAAAACCTAGAAAGTGCAAGCCTTCACAGAACTTATCAACTCCGTGGACAGTAACATCAAGTTCACACGAGAGGATGTCAGCAACAAGAGCTTGGCCTTCTTGGACTGTGACGTATACATTAAAGAGGACAAAAGCCTGCAAATTAATGAGTAAACCCACACAGAGACCAATATTTACTCTTTGATTCTCACCACCCTCTGGAGCATTAGCTAGGGGTCATCAGAACCCTGCACCAACGAGCTGACAACATGCCAACAAGTGCCAAAGCCAAAGAGAAGGAGCATACAACACCTGAAGGAGGCGTCTAAAGCTTGTGGAAAGCCAGACTGCCAAACAGCCACAAGATCCAGGAACAACACCAACAATACCGGTGACAAAAAAAAAAAAAGACAATCGCTAAACAGAGGAACATACGCTAACATTTGGCCTTATGTGACAATGCCAAGCACGGTCGTTCATACATGGCCTCACGTAACTCTGACTGTCGTTACAACAGCCAGGAGCACTAACAAACTAAGTGGTATCCATCACCTTGATAACAACCTAAAAAAGGTTAAAGGGTTGGGATTCCCTCACCAGGCAGTCAGAACTGAAGAAACCCCTCGGATGAGAGGCAAAACCTCTTCAGGTATCTTCAACCAAGTCCAGTTGCCCTTGATTTTAACCTTCCTGAAATACAAAGTGTGGAAGGAAAAATGAAAGCATGTAAACCACTTAGAAGGAGACATTTTATTTATTACACATGACAAGGATGTCTGTAAGAAATAGCTTACCCTGAAACTGAGCTAATATTAAAACCATCTGATGATCCTAACTAGCTTGCCTGTGGTTCAGTATAAACTAAAAATGGGGGACTAGAAAGAAGAGGGTTGGAGAGTGGAGGGGAATAGAGATGTATTCAGTTTGAATACTCGCTAAGTCCTAAATGAGCATAAAACCAAAAGAAACGATAATAAAAGCTGTGTTCACGCCCTCTTGATTACAATATTCTGCCCTGTTTATGTGACCTTGAGCAAAAACACTGAACTTCAATCAGCTCTTGGGACAATATGGGACAATGTCCGGCTGTCCTCTAAGAAAGTAGAATTTTCGCTTAATTTCGACCAAAGAAAATCTTACATAAATATAGTGATTTCTCATCCAACCGATGAGTTTTACATTTTTTAAAAAATTAAGGGGGAGTCAAATATTGTGGAGGAATTGGAAAAGCAAAACCAAGCAGCTATTACACTTATGTATGTGAGCATGGGTGTACAGTAGAAAGAGAAAAAAAACAAGCAAAGGGAATAGAAGGGGGAGGAAAGCGGGGGGGAGGCGAAGAAAAAGAAGCGAGAGGGTGCTCGCCTGGCACAATGAGTCCTACTTGTTAGCCAGTGACAGTGTCAGGGATCGTGACAGGGTCCAGACGCTAGACACCAGCTGCAGCGCCTCGTAAATAGACTGCTGTCTCGCAGGCACATTTGCACGGCAATGGTTGCACACACGCGCACACACACACACACAGACACACACAGGCATGTGGGCACATGCATATACTATGGCAGGCACACAGACAGACACTGACTTATTGTCTCTCCCAAATCTTGTAAAAGGGACAGGGAACCTCTTTGTGCCTTGTGTCCTGTTAAAGCTCCTGTGAAGAGAAAATGTACTCCACACACAAGAAATCAACAAAACTGCAAATAAAATGATTAAACATGTATTAATAATTAAATAACGTATTCAATAATAACTAAATGTTGATGCTTATTGCTTTATGGAAAAGCCAAACAGAACAAACTTTGTGCTCAGTCCATGGGTGTCTTGCTGGAACAGCAAGACTTATCTTTCCTAACACTTTAGCGTCGCTGTAAACTTTGTATGTGTCTGTGTGCGTTCTCTCTCCCTCCACGGTGATAATGAGGGGGGTTACACACTACATCTGTCCTGTGGTGCGTGGAGGGAGAAAATCTGGAGTAGGAGAGAGTTGAGCTTAGGACGAGAGGAGAGCCAAGCTGGACGGGAGGTGAAGGGGTTAAATGCGCAGGGCTGATCCTGCTGAGCCAGCAGCAATACGTTAAAGTGCAAGGTTTCATTGCAGCAGATACAGAATGAAACTCCTTCCCATTAGTCACGCTAGTAACTGAAAAGGCTCTTCGCACTGCTTAACACTGCACCGCAAACAAACCACAGCAACAACACAGGTAAAGCCCTTGTAATTGGTTAATAGCTTCTGTGTTTGTGTGTAAACTCACACGCAGAATGACATTGCCGTAATTACAGTGCAGTGACCAAGTGTGCCTTTGCGTACAAGTTCAACTTTTTCTAACTTATGCGTGAGAGGAGTGAGTGTCTTTCCACACGTTGAAAGCAACTCAGATGGAGTGACCTTTGAGGGGGATTTTCTTTTTCTAAACTCTTTTTCTGTTCCCCCCCCCCATCCTCTTCTTGAGCAAGCCTCCCACGCCATGCTACAGTACACACTGTCTCAGAGGGGCTTAGGGAGGAGAATGCAAGCATACCCTTCCTCCAGTTAGAGCAGGGCAGAACCATAATCATCATAATTGTCATCATCATCACACCGCCTTAACCAAGACACACCACAGCAAAGCAAGTGGTGCAATGACGGAACAATGGAACAAACCAACCATGTAAACAAACCCATAATGGGAGGACGTAAGGTGAATCGGGTCATTACAAAAAATAAAGGAGCAAGTTGTAATTCTGTCTGTTATAGTTTTAATAGCACTATGATTTCTGTTTTTGTTTACACAAAGAAAAAGGCTACAAGCTGGCTTCATTTGAATTATTTCATCAACTCACGACTATAATCTGGCAATTTTCCTCAAACCTATTGATATTCCTGGTTCAGAAAACCAAAATTAAATGGTCAAGGTTAAGAGGTTTCCCCAGTCTCAGTTTGGATGTTCATACTCTACACATTATATTAATGTAACCTCTCCAAAACACATACAAACACACACCTTACTCTTCTGGAGAAGACATATGTGTTGGCACAGACCTCTCTCCAGCCCATTGGTTTTAGTGCTCCAGAAAAAAAAAAGCCATTTGATCCTAATTAAATCAAAATGGAGCATGAAATGCCTGGTGATCAGCATACAAAAACCTAGCCTTGGCTGTTTGTTTTCATTACAACAGGTCTGAAACAGTAATACACGGATGTCTCCACGTAAACTCAAAGAAGCCCTTAACGTCCCACGAGTGCAGAGTGGGGAACTAGTAATATTGTTCCTGGCCAAACATTCAGCAATAATAAAACAACAATTACCATTCATCATTCTCTCATTTCCCTTCTCATTACAACTCCACTTAACATCAGCACCAGGTAACAAGAACATGTGGCATGCAGCCGAATGTGGTTTACAGAGATGAACAATGTATAGAAAGCATAAGGCCTGTGGTGAGCTGCACAATATAAACCATACTGCAATGGAAAAGTTGACAGGGTACCATAGATACAGTATGTTTTAGGGATAATGACTTCACTGACTGCAAAGCATAAATGTCATATTGGTAGATGAGAATAAACAAATAAAATACACAAAACAGAAGCTTACAATATGCAGAAAGAACATGGAGCCAAAGCTCTACAGTTGCATAGCTGCAAAGGTTGTCAGTACAGCTGCAACGATTAGTCATATAATCGATTAGTTGTCAAATATTAAATAAATCGGCAACTATTTTGATAATCGATTAATCCTTTTTTAGTAATTTTTACTTCAGCCTCTCAACCGTAACTAATTTTTGCCTTCTTTTGTCCTCTATGACAGTAAACTGCATATCATTGTGTTGTGGACAAAACTAGACATTTGAGGATGTCATCTTGGGCTTTGGGAAACACTGATCAACATTTTTGACATTTTACGGACCAAACAAAGAATCAATTAAAAGTGTTCGATGTCCTCAAAAAATGATCAAGATCAGGGATTTGTTTAAGGCCTGAATTTACTTGGGAGCGGAGGAGCACACGGACAGCTGCGGATGTGGACGACTTCTGTTTATACTACTTTCTGGAGTCAGCTTGGCAGACTCGTTCCACACATGCGCAGTCGATCGTTTGGTGGCCTGGTAGTGTAGTTGGCACGCAGACCTGTCCGCGTGGTCATAAAAAAGCGGAGGCACGCGGATGTTCTCACAGAGCCAACGCGTACACCCTCTGATGACGATTTTTTCTTCATGCAGACCATAGCGGATCCTCGCGTACTCGCAGAAAGTATAATCCTTGCTTTAGGGTCAAGAGCATGCATATTTTGTTTTGTGCAGGATTGTGTCATCTAGCATTCTGGATGCTGGATGCTGAATCTGGAGGGGGTTTCCGAAGCTATTAGACCATCTGACAAGCAGATTATAACTTCCCTTAAACCTGCATCTGCATCATTTTATCGAATGACAAGCAGAACTTCTTTCACTGAAATGACGTGGTGCAATCTTTGATAGAACAAAATCATCCATTACCTTTTCACACAATGGCATGTAATTGCCATCACTGTTTTAACAGTCCTTGGTCAAGTGTGAAAGGGGTATTAGACTGAGGAGGGCTAATTACCAGCTCTCCAATATGAACAGTTTTGAGTTTCTACAGCTGCTAATTGCCGACATGCCACTGTAGCAAAAGAATAACTTCATATTATTTGATGGCACACAACATGAGGTACTGATGGAGAATAAAGGTTTTTTTTCTTACTCCAGTCTTGTCACAGAGCCGCAGGGTGTTGAAGGAGCCCACAGAAAACACCTCTCCATCTGGAGCCCAGGACAAAGAGGTGACCGGGTAGTCATGAGACGACGAGGAGTAAAGCAGACGGCCAAAGCTGTCCCATACCTATTGAGGGAGGACATGGTTTGAAAGGTAAAAAACAATTCAACACACCGAGACGTCTACAAGTATACTCAAACACTGCCCACCTTATATTTACAGTCTTCTCCACCTGACAGTATGAGGTCATTGACTGAGTTCCAGTCCACCTTCAGAACAACCCCATCATGAGCCTTCCACTACAGAGAGAGACAGGGAGGGAGAGAGACACAGGGGTGGGGTGGGGGGTAGGGGGGGGCAAACTCAATTTTATGTCAACACAACATAATGACGTTGATGATCCATACATGACTTCTCTAGCTGTTTTTTAGCTCTGGCAGATCCCATTCAAACAGATTTCCAACCGACCTGATCCAGGTTGAGCCAATCACAACTGTTCATCTAATATGGGATATAGAGGAGTGCCTTTGAGGCACTTTCAAAAACAACCAAGATGGCTGCTGCTGATGTGGACTGTTCTGTTGAATCCGCTCAAGTCAGTATTAAACCAACTGAATCTCTGGTTTCTGATGGCAAAAACAGCAACACAGACATATCGATGCTACATCATCACAACTTATCTCTGCACGCTGTCGTCTGTTAACATTTTTCCATTGAGTAAACTCCAGAGAGATTTGCAGTTATTCTTGGTCTTGCAGTTTATGAAATGTCTCATATCAGCCTAACTAAGAGTTTACTCTTTACACTGTGTGTAACACAGAGCATAAAGCCTGTCACCAGCCTTATCCTACTATGTTCCTTCCTATCTTGCTCCTGCTCTCTCTACATGCCTACTCTCACACGCCTTCTATTTTTTGTACCCCACTTGCTCACTCCATGCATCCAAGGGAAACACATGTGGATAAATACACGTGTGTTGTGTAAGGGAATGCAAATGTCAAAGAGGATCTTTCGGGGGTTCTTTACATGAAGCTGTATGTCAGACCCCTTTCATATCAGATACCCAAGCCAGACTATGTCCAACCCATGTTTAACCCCAGTTGGCTGATGCATGTTGACCCATTCAGACTGAGCCCACATAGGTTTGACTCGCATCACTGTGTTGGTCTCAAGGGGGTCTCAAGGAGAGGTGATGAAGTTGGATGTGTGTGTATACTTCTGCCTGCCCATGCATGTGTGATAATAGCTGAAAGAAAGCAAAGGGTTGAGAAGGCGCACATTAAACCCTCCACTGTTTATCTAAGGTCCCAGTAGCTATTCGGCTTCAAGAAGAATAATAAACAAATTTATATATGGACAAGGTCTTCAGTGCTGCACCCTTCCTTAATGCAGAAGCACTCAAAGACATAGAGATCTATTGAAAGCAATATATTTCTATTATTTAGCCTTTATATAGCATAACAAATCAATGACGCAAAAAGAGCCAAAGGGCCTAGTGATGTCAGGTCATTCGACAGATCAAATCATAAGCAAAATCCACACACACAACAGAAAAACTATCACACAAAGATATCAACAACAGAAAAGACACTGTACATTAGATACTACATAAGTGGCAAAGCAGATAACATGAATGTAGCTACAGAGCCCATAAACTCAAAAAAGACAACTTACAACACTGTGCAAAACTGTAGGGTTACTATAGGGACTTGGTGTGTCCATAGTAATATTGCTTATTACACAGTAATATATTTATATCGAGTCTGTTATGCTATTAATTCAACGATCCATTGGGAAGCTCACATTTTGCCACAATAAAGAAAGAAATCTATCAATTTCACTGTATTGTATAAAGATATACTCAGAAGTAAAAATCAAGAAATTGCAAAAGCTCCTGTACAGAGCCTGCAAATCTTCCAGTGAAGACAGGAACTGGATAATAAAGGCGCGTGTTGGCTTTGACATATAGCACACATCTAAATGGTAACCATCTTAACAGCAAAGAAGCTAAATTACAACCTCTGCCTGGCAAACGTTAGTAGTCACAGAATAGGGTATCTCACCTCCCTCAACACTTTACTGGTCATGTGACACATGTAGAAACCATCATCATGTCATTTTGGCTATATGGGGGTGCTCAACCCTGATTTTACATAGAACTACTATATCAACATATAATGCTGTAAATAAAAATGTGAGAAGAAAGAAGCTTTTTAAGTGCATGAATAAATTCAAAATTCTAACCCTAACCCTTAAGATAGGGGGCGTCGGTGTGCACGTGTGGATTAGTTTATGTGGTGGTAGAAGAGTAAGAGAGACAGAGCACCAGCTACGCCAGTGTTGTGCTGAATTGTGTGTGCATCTTGTGGGATGTTTAAATCATTTATAACCATTAATGAACCGCATAAAGAATATTATATCATTTTTAAACAGTATTTGTAATAAACCCACGAGGAACCTCGACATACATGCAATTCTCGGCGGGCATGCACAACTCGACACAAGACCGGTTAATGGCAGGTGAGCAGAGCAGAGAGAAAAGGGTCAACAATAATGACCTAGAATCTATTGAAAAAACGATTTTTCATTTAATTAATCATTTTAAACAAGTTAAGCACATTGTGATGATGGCATAGCAAGTACAGCCAATGTGGCTAATAAAGTAAAAATCATTGACATTAATTATCTATTTACTCTTTATAATTAGAAAAAAATGAGCATGTGTATAGACCATAATAAAGGTATTGTCCACGTGATTCATGTAGTAACAATTTTTGACAGTTTTTAATTTTATGTCATATACGGTTACCTTTGTTACCAGTAACAGTTACTTACAGGTATTTCAAAAATTTGACTTCTATGACTAATCTTAAGTAACCAATGTAGATGTTTACCTCTTAAAAGAATACATAAAGTGTACCTGTATGACTTTGGCGCTGGGTTGCAGGGGCTTGATGACTAGCTGTCTTCCTGATGTGTAGAGGATTCTGTCTGAGTCTGGACCCCAGGCCACAGAATACACAGGAGACCCTGGAAGATATGCAGAAACACAGGTACACAGCAGATGACTACAGTATTAACCTCAAGCCTAGAGCAATGGATTGGGCGCATAACACATTAGGACTTTGCCTTTTACTTGATGTAATATTTCTTTTGTGAATGAAAACTGTGTACGAATGTATCTCTTTGACAAACAAGGAGTTTGTATGAACAATAGCTCCTGGATAACATCAGTGCTAATTCCTCCTTTTAGAAGGTATCATATTCCCTCAAATATCTCACCTCATTCAGCCTTTGGAACACTTAGTATGCAGGCACACCACACCAGCTGAGAAAATCTGCCTAACCTCTACAATACAGCTTACGTGCGCATGTGTGAGGGAAAAAGTGCGTGTGTGTGCGCGTGTGTGTGTATGTGTGTGTGTGTGTGTGTGTGTGAGAGAGAGAGTCGGGTTGTGGCTACACGTGTGTGGAGGGGAGAGGGCCTGACATTTAACCCCACTCCAGGTGCATGTGGTTTCTCACAAATGTCAACTGGTCACATGATCTAAATCTGACAAAGGCGAAGAGAGGGGTTGAGACAAGTTCCTCTCTCCTCCCTCTCTCTCACTCACTTCCAATGTCTTTGTAGAGCTCTCTCTTTCTCTCCCTCTCTCTTAAAATGGGTCATAGTAACCATGAAGGACAGCCTGCTGCTGTAGTGTGTGTGTGTGTGTGTGTGTGTGTGTGTGTTGGCGTCTCAGTGGAAAAGCAGCAACACCTGTAGTGATCTGAGTGCCATGTGGAGGTTGGTGTGTATCAACGCTACTATATACAGGTGTGTTCTGTAGGTCTGTTGGGCAGCCCACCACCCCGCAGAACATTCTCCAAACAGCCAGCTAAGAAAAAATGTTCCTACATACAGGGGCTGAATTGCCGTGCCCCTGCCAGGTTTTCCACAGCACCCGTCATTCAGCAGGAGTGTGCCATCCATTTCCCCAGAAGCCAACTTTTATCCAGCCCCCATCTTTTTTCTGTCCCACAACTGAGAAAAAAATATTTAATAAGTCAAACAGCATGATGAATCAATTAATAAGTAAGCCATCTGTAATGTGAATGCTGGATAAAGAAATGTATCATTAGGAGTCTTTTTTATGGCTTTTAATAAAACTCCACTCCTATAAACCTTTGAAATTTTATTGCACTTTTAATAAAAAAAACATAGAACTGGAAGACTAACTCTCGCTTTTGGTTGTACTGGCTGAGCACAATTAAGCCCAACACACACCACATGCATGTTAACACTATCGCACAGCCAAGGAGAGGGAAAAAAAAACCATTTCCTCCTTGATTGTCATTTTAAATGATCTGGCTTCAGTAAAAAGGCGGCTTCAACATAAATGCAAATCTTGCAGATCATTTTGCGAGCATGCAAGCGCAGACACACTTACACGGGAGGGATATGCTGGTAATTGCAACAACCACACATTCACTTTTATAATGCACGCACAATATTATTAAAAAGAGTAAAATGAAAGTCTGGAATAGAATTAGGCAACATGTCAAGTGTAGCGATTTATTTGCGACAGCCAAACAGGAGGCAGAAGAGGAGGTGAACGTGTGTAGTAGAGATGGCGAAAAGGAGATGGCTTCCCTGATACACATTAACAAAACGAAAAAGTTCTGTGTGTCTGTGCTTTTAATCAGTTCTCTCTCTGTCATAAGAGGCAGTCTTTGAGCCAGAAAATCCAAAATAAATCAGTATTGTGTGTGTCTGTGTGACAGACCGAGATAGAGAGGGTGTAATTGGTGTCAGTATGTTGTTTTGTGTTTACTAAACGCCTGCAACTGGTTGGTCAGTGTCTGGCTGCACATGGCTTCTGCTACTGGCTGGCAGCTGTTATGAATGTGACCTGTTTTAAATCGTATCAGTCTAAATCTCACATCGGCTCTTTCTCACACCGACGTTCAAATGATGACAATCAATATTTATAGATGAGGGCTATACCCACCTTGATTATGCAGTGTCTAGCCTTATTGTTCAGGATATTACTACTGTATTTACAGTTGGTCACAAGTTACTTTATCATGATGGATGAGCTGATAACAGCAGATGAGGCCATTAAGAGTGTACCAGCTTTCATGTGTAGTTTTAAAGAGTTTTGTGAGAGTTTTAATGTAAAAATATTGGCATAGGGCTGAATTCTTTTCAAATACGACACATAGTGGCTTTAAGGTGATAAGGTAAAAACAATGATGTTTACTATCTACTGTTATTATCTAGCTGCTAACTACCTGTTTGTGTGAAAATGATGAGATGCAATCCTACAGAAACACTCACCATTCTGTTGGTCTTTTATTACATGTGAAATACTATCTTACATATAAAAAATAACAATATAGTGTAATAGTGTATAGAATATATTTTCTGTCTTCAAGAAATCATATTTGGACAAGTGTAAATATTGCTCACACACCGGCATGCAGAGAGTATATTAAACTCATTAAACAGGCAAAAATTGTATACAGTGTAGAGGATGCATGTATAACAAAACCATTTGCTCCGCGTTGCTTTTTTTCATACATTTTTGGTTAAGTGGTCATATATAAATCACAGATAGCAGCTTCACAAAAATATGTAGCTTAAATTCAGTGAAGTAAAGCAAGGGTCTTTCGCCTTACCCTGGTTGGCTAGTGTTGAGCGTAACATCCCACTTTTTGACCAGATCTTGATCTGTCCATCTTCTCCAGCTATTAAAGACAAAGATTAAGTGGACCTCAAGGATATAAACTATTTAATTTTGATGAAAAATATATAGCAGGCAGATTAAACCAGTATTTGTTCAATGGTAATAAAAATATGTTTGTCCCTGTCATCTTTACCTGTGATAAGTGCAGTCCCATCGTAGTTCCATCTTCCAGCCAAAACAGCTCCTTTGTGTGCTTCAACACTCTTCTCAATGCGCCCTATCTTGGAGGCCAGGTGGAACTTCCCTGTGAACAGACAAAAAGAGGCTTACTGTATTGCCTCTCAAGGCCTGGGTGCTTACGATCTATAATTCAGAACACTAGTGTCTGCTGTAATTCCCTGCTACTATGTGGATGTCTCTTTTCCATCTCTTCTACACAGACTACAGAGACCAGGGTTTCATTAGTTTGAGTGATTGAGGTTGCTGTGTGAGGCAAATCAGCCGAACTATTTATTTATTTATTTATTTTTTTTACAGCCAATCCATAAAAACAGTGAGGAGAAATAATTGACAAAGTATATTAACCACCATCCCCTAACACAGATCCTTATCAACAATTATAAACTAAGCTATATTTTCTCCCTCCAGCTAAATTACAAACTTATAGCATAAAGCGGATAAGTGAGGCTGAAGTGTTTCTGTTGATTAAATCAGGGCAATTTTCTATTTCCTAGACACGAAGGGTGATCAGGCATGGAGACAGTTATTGAAGACGCTAGCCTAACATATACTTTGTGGCAGTGCGTATTAAAAAATTCTGAATGTTCTATGTAATTTCTGGCGGCCTAAAACTGCAAATCAGCATACTGCTGCTCTCTCCCATTTCTAAATTTGGACATCCTAACAAAAGTGGATGTCACTGGCCCAGCAGGTACCGAGTATAACAGGAATGTGCAGCTGTACTTAAGGACTTATAATATCTTTTTCTTTTACATGTGCACTCATATCAACAGTAATTATCTTTGTAGCCAAACATTCTGGGTACAATACCTTTGGTTTGCTCATTTTTTTGTTTGCTTGTTATCTGGGAGGTGTTTTTTATGATACCATGTCAACACATTAACCCTTTGCTATTTACTTTTTAAAATGGTTTGTTGAGAAATTCTTGACAACGCATTTGTGTGAAATATATTATGACACCACATTGTAGTTACACAGGGTAAAAGAGAATGAGACTTTTGTTCCAAAAAGAAGGCCCAGCGATATCCTTCATTCTTAATTTAGTGCTCTTTGGGACAAATCTACTTCCATTCCACACAATATCCTTTGTAGTAGAATGGCAAATGAGGCATCTAAGCTATGCAGTGGTGCTTAGCCATGGAGAAATATTAGGCATCCAAAATGAATGCATTCTTAACTAATTAGATGTTCAATATTTAGTTTTAAAAAGCAGAGACAGAAAATAGCAATATATAATGTAACACAAAAAAACTATTTTTCATAAAAAAATGTGACTGGAAAAAAGGTCAAACTGCACATGAACTATACAAAAAAACAAGGTGACTGAGGCTGAAAAATCAACTAAAGGTTAAGAAAAGCCACAACATTAATATGGAGTCCTCCACACAATAAAACCCTGGCTGTTGGACTGCTTCTGTTACATCTATATCATACAGACCTTTTAGAAAATGTTAAACACCTTCTGCAGAATCCAGATTTAAAAATTAGCGCCAAAGTATTTCAGTGCACACCATAGTTACAATAAATAAAACTGTGTGGTCTATCATGTTTTTGCTTTCAATAAAAAACACAAATTTATTTTCAAGCAAGAAATTCTAGCAATACTGATATTTGTTTCACTGTAACACGGCAAGAAGCAGAAGAAAGTTGCAAAAAAGTGAATCGTAACAGAGTTTTCACTACTCTCTAGTCTGCCAGAGAAAATTGCTGCTTCAGTTTGTGGGTGTGTTTATGCAACCCTACACTGCCATTAGTGTTGTGACCACACATCGCCTGCCATAACAGTACATCCATATTATGTGTGTTTATATCTAATATAAGCCAAAGAAGAGACATAAGAGGCAATGTGGATTCATGTCTTACAGAATGTGTCGCCAAATTTAGTATTACAAAGACACAGAAACAAACGAAAATGCACCTTTAGTAATTTGTCATTGAAGGTCGCATGAAAACTAGAGCATAGGGACTCACTCCTCACATTCTGCACATCAATGCACAAAGCTGTACATCTCTTTCAGTCATATATATTTTCTACTTAACAATAACTTAGCAATAAACCTGATTCTGATTCTCTTTTCTGCAATACTACTTGTTATCCTAAAGAAAACTGGATTATTCTGTTTAGAGATCAGTTTTACTGCAAAGGTATGAATCTTAACTATAAAGAAGAACTCCTGAGTTGTCGCCTAGATCTTCTCGTGATTAAGCAAAACACTGTCATCCTACTCAGAATAAAACCAGAGGAGCTGAGCGGAAAAAAGACCAGAGGCAGACAAGTGAGGAGTGAAAACTCAGTTAATAGTTTCTCTATACATTTTATTTACTCCTACAGAGCTCCATAGCCTGCTTGCCCAATTTTAGAGAATAAAGAGACTTGCCATCAGTACTGGTAAGGACAAAGATTTCAGCCTGGTTCTGTTTCTTGCCACCAACTGCTTTGGGGAACCAGTGTAGGTCAATGGGGTAAATGTCCTCTGGCAATTTGACAACCAGATTGGTCTCACTCGTCAGCAGGTTCCACTTGAGGATATGGTGGTCCTCACTGCATGAGTACAGCTCATCAGCTGTGGTCCAGCCAACACAACTCACAAGTTCCTTATGTGATCTGCTGTTAAGGAAAGTGTGAAATCAAGTGGAGTTATTAGGTTAGGTATTTTAGTTGTTCATATGAAATGCCATAGTAGCTTCTGCAATAAATAGGGTCTTCAAAAAAAAAAAAGAATGAACAGATTCAAGATTTGGTATGGTAACTTAGGGGTTAGGTTATTACTACAATTATATCATTACTTCTAGTAGATAGATAGAACTACAATAATAATGGTACGTCAGCAAAGTTTTTGTTACATAAAATATATTTCAGCTGCACAGAAACACAAATACAAGGCTAGATAACTAACGACATTATAAAAAGGATATGTTTGGGTTCTTGTAGCAGCGATGTTTTCAGTCTCATGGTGGATGTTTGCTCTGTTGATCCCTAACGTTACACGAACAAGAAATTGTCCGTTAGTGATAGTAACTGTAATTGTAAAGCTTCTTATATCAGATTAATGTAAAACCAACACACAAGAAGAAACACTATACAGGACAAAAACCATGAAACTATTAACCCTACCCCGTAAATTAGGCGAGTCAGTTGTTGGCATGCTCTGGTAGCTGAAACTAGCGTCTGCAGTTGCTACGGTACCTGCCACTGTCGCTAACGTGAATCCTCAGATGTCCCCGAGTCTTGAAACTTATGCTAACGTGAAATTGGTTGTCTGGTTAAACCAGACATCGTTCTGTCGTTTCCGAGTTTACTGTGGGACAACCAGCAATTGCATGCGTATCATTTACTCCTGCAAAAGTTGCATGAAGAGTCAGAACGGTACAGCGCAAGCCCACCCATCACGAAATGTGTCGCTAGCGTTATCAAGGCTAACCTTTGGTAGCCATTTAATCTGCTAATCATAAACAGCTTGAAAAATTAGTTATCGCGAGATTTGCAAATATCGCTTCTTTGAAAATAGATATTTTGACAATGTAAAACTACATTATGATATCTGTTAAAACAAATGTATTTAATATAACTCATTAAAATTAAAAATACACTAACATTAATAGTTGATCCATTGAACAATATTTCCTGAAATGCAAACTATTCTTCCGGGTGGTACTTCCTTCTACTGTAACCAGGCAACCGTTTGAACATGTAGAAACATTAGGTTTTGAATTTGACAAATAATCTTAAATAACATATAACATTGTACAAAAGTATTGTTGCTTTCTGCGTGTTTCGTCTGGTTGTTTTTGTCGTATGATTATCGTTTGTTTGAAACGAGGCGGAGTTGGCTTCGTCCCCTTTTTTGAATTTCATGTTTTTTTCCCTTGCCCTTTGAACGTTCCATGGTACCTTGCGTCAGTTTGTAACGAATTTGGTTCGACAGCACAGTTTAGGCGCCATTTACAAGTTAGGAGAGCGAGTTGGAATGACACGGGGCTGAAATTTTGTGGAATATATTTGCCAAACTTTGGACTAACGAATTCTTCTTTTTTTCCGAAATCGTGATTTGGGTCAGAAAGGAATACTCTTGACAGACCGTGTCCGTATTGTGGAAGGTACATAGAAGCATTTTAGCTGAGAGTAATGACTGGGTTCCGTCTATTTGCTGAAATGCAAAACGTTAGTTCCAAACCAGAACCAACATTAACAACACGTTAACTTTAGTTTTAACATTAGCTGCCGTGGAAAACGTTACCAATACTCCGGATACTTTTTTTTGCCTTATTACATTTAACGTTAACGCAAATAGGCTTTTCGTAGGCACACACACACCCCTAACCGTAAGTTAACGTTACCGTTAACATGCAACTTTTCCGATTGTCTAACTTTAAGATAATGTTAACGTTAATCTTACTGGTGGTTGCTAAACTTTGAGCTACAAAACATTTGTCTAGTTAACGGTGACTAAGTTAACGTTACTTCAGTTAAGTTTACTTAAGTTAAGCACCCCTTTCAAGTCGTATAATGCAAACTATACGTTAAGTAAGTTACAGTTAACGTTACGGTGTCTGCGTTACAGATCCACAGCGCAGATACGTTTGCAAGTCACAGTTAGCCATTACGTTAGCTTTAGCCTTGCTGAGTTATGTATGATCACATAGTTAGCTAGCCTACGGCAGCTACGTTAACTTAACGTTAACATTAGCGAAGTAAAAATAGGACAGTAACGTGGACACTTTTTTTTCTTAATATCCGGTGGCCACGCTAGCTGTACAAAATCACTTATTTGTCAAACATGCGTTTAATTAACGTATAACGTTACTATCAGTCCAACGTTATCATAAAGTTAAATTCCTTATTTGAATGTGCTTTCCAATTAACGTTAGCTAGCGAGTTAACGTTAGGTCGCCCCAGTGTAACGTTACACCTCCGCCCCCAACATAAAAGTTGAGGGGATTAAAGTTAATATTGGTGTCATTTTGAGACCTCGATCAATTTAGGACGCTGTGTCCGGAGAGCTGCGTCTATTCAATGGCCACATAACATAGGTTAGGCTAAGAGCTGTGGGGAGATTATTTAGCTATTTGCATATTAACTGAATTTGTTTTGAATTGTCGTTACGTTAACCTTATTTTCCTGTTTTACCCAACATTGCAAGGGTCCTTAACCGTTCAACTTTGTGACGCTCAAATCAAATAACTATGTAAGATGCAGAAGGGTACTCAAACGTATCTGTCACATAAGGAGGCCATTATGTTTTTATACTGTTGTTTGGGGTTAGTGAAAGAATAGCATCTAATTCGTTACAATCATCACGCAGATTGGCAGCCTGTTCCTTGCCATCTCTTCTAACGTTATTTGACCAAGAGCTTTTTTAATAACTCACTTTGTTCAACTCAGACTTTACTAATGCTGTTACTTTATTTACTGTTGTAAAAAACTGTTACCATATGAAAAATATACCGACTAACTGTAAGATGGGCGGCAGTGAGATCAGACTGTGGTAATTATTTCAGCCTGACATCGGTAGCTGCGTGTGACCGACTTAAAGTGGAGCTGTGAGATTGACAGGCACAAAAACCACTCATAGATATGCCTTTTTTACCAATGACCCCTTCAGATTTCAAATCATGCCATCTAAAACTGCAAAGAGCTCAACTGCCTCCGCCAAGCCAAGAGGGAAAGGGTCGCAGCCTCGGGATGACTCCGAAGACGAGCTGGATGTACCCCATCAAGAAACCAAATCCAATGGCCAAGAGGAGGCACCGCCGACAACTGGCAAGTAACAAAGGGTGTTTTGGTGTCTGAATCTAAATAAGTTGTGTTCACTTAATGGCGTTGCGTGTATTGCTGTGTTGGTAGTGGCCAATTGGCACAGCTGTAGAGCTTTTTTCTTACTTAAATCTCAACACGTAGTTAGAATGGCCGATATATTTTTTCCAAAGTGTCAGTCATCAATAAATGTCTTGTGATTTTTGTGATGATTTTGATATCGTCGAGTGTACTACTTCCCCGGATCTTCTCAGCAAATGAGGTAATTTATTTGAAGATAATGAAATGTTTTATGTAGTAGACCAAAATGGTGTTTGGCTTAATTCTTACAACTTGACGATTTATAATTTGTATAATAATTTGAATGCGAAGCTTAAGATGCACGTAAGTATTAAGTGATGTTTGTGTTCTATAGAATATGTTGAAATGCTTAACTGTGTGTCTGGCTACAAGAATTAGATTTACAAACATCGACCCCCATAGCTTGTTTATGCTTGTGTGAGCACAATAGATTTTGGACAGGTCGTTTTGGCTTGGTGTGATGGCAACACAATCGTTTTTACGTTATACATTATCATCATTATCATCAGTCTGTGTTGCCAGTGCAGTTCAGCATGAGTGAAAATGTGACGTTGATGATCGAAATGCACACTTTAGTTATTTATCATCGACGAAATGAATGTGGCGCATCTACTCTCACGTATCAACGCTTCTCGTGGAGAGCGTTTCTATAATAATGTGGGTTTGTTCATAAGCGGCCATGGTCGCTTTCTGTTTTTTTCTTCTTCCCTGGGTTGGCTCTTGTTTTCAGAACAAAGAAAAATAACGTCTGTCAACTTTCTCGGGAGTCGTTGTTTGACTGCTGTTGTAACTTGCTGCCAGTGTTTTGTTTGTTTGTTTTTTTGCTCCTCTACCCCTCCCCCACGCACCACTGCCCCCCACCTGAAACGACTCGCGCAGAGGAATAAAAGTTGTACTTTTTTCTGTGCCACAGATCCGTCTCACGGGGAAGCTGTCGAGGCGGTTGATAATCGAAGTTTGGAGGAGATTCTCAGTTGCATCCCTCCACCCCCGCCCCCAGCAATGACCAATGAACCGGGCGCTCCTCGCCTGATGATAACACATTTAGTTAATCGCAACTTTAAATCTTACGCAGGCGAGCAGATTCTGGGGCCTTTTCACAAGGTACGACCAAACATGGTTACAAATGTCAACCCTGTGTGGGAAATATTTGTGTGCTGTGTTAAGCTCACAGATTTACTACTATTTGTAGTGTTTCTCAATTTTATTTCATTTCTCTTTAATTTCATATTATGCAAATGTCAAACACAGTTGCCTTGTGTTGTGGTAGACACAAACAAGTACAGAAATATAAATTACACCACATTAAAACATTTATTTAATTTTTGGAAAATATTTTTTTCAAAGAGGAAAAAGTCGCACTCCTCCATTTTGATCTAGTGGGTTTATCATACAAGGGTTAGTGATCTAGTGATGTGCTGACTTTTCCCTTAAATTAAGATTTTCATTAAATTTTAAATTTTTACCTTTTTTTGCTCCCCTCATTGCTCTGCAAATATCTGTATATTAAAATAAATGTTAACTACACCCTCTTGGAATACATTCACTATCTCAATCTTACTATGCTTAAATGTTAATATGTGCCTTTTAATGTTATGACATTTACATTATTTGTTTGTGGATGCAGTATATATTTATATAATTTATTTATATAATTTTTTACATCATCTCTCTTCTTTCTCTCAGCGCTTTTCATGCATCATTGGTCCAAATGGGAGTGGGAAGTCCAATGTGATAGATTCGATGCTCTTTGTGTTTGGATACAGAGCTCAAAAGATCAGATCGAAAAAGCTCTCAGTGCTGATTCACAGCTCTGATAAACACAAAGATGTGCAAAGCTGTACTGTGGAGGTGCATTTTCAAAAGATTATTGATAAGGTATATATGTATCTATCTATATATCAGTCACACAGATACCTTCTACACACACTCTGGCCTCTCCTAAATTAGAAATATTTACCAGTGGACAGATTTTGTTTTTCCCTCAAATTTAAAATTATTTATTTTCTATGCTCATGAGGTAATATTGCTACATGATTATCACACCAGTGACTAAACACAGACTCAAATTGATCATGAAAGTTACAACTAACACCCACACATACCATAGTCAATTCAGAATGTGCTAGAATTGATTCCTGTGTTTTTTGAATAATTTTTAAATGTGTTATTTAGTGACTAGGCTCTACTTTATTTGAATATACTGTGAAAATTCAATAAAACGAGTGTTTGTATTAAGAGACAAATTTATTCTGTTGTATTAGATCACAAATTACTGTGAAAACTGACTGTAGTAAAAATAACTAGAGTTTATCATGTTTCTGTATTTGATCTGCTGCAGGGGGTGCAAGTCTTGCCTTGCCCACTGTCAAATATAAGCCTTTCTGTTTGGTCCATTAGTGCACAATAAATTAAAATCAGTTTGCTAAATTAGTGCCATAATTCTATGAACCCTGCCAGCTTTACAATCTGCCATTTCTGAAACTTAAAAATATGTTTTTAAGGAGTGGTGTACACAACTTAAATTATTTGACTTGCTTCTAAAATTAATACATTTTTTAGGAAAATGACTGACTCTTTTGCATTGCAGTTATATCTCATCATTTTAACTAACATGTAGTTGT